AATACATAAGAAGCCCACACAACTGAATGGAAAAAAAAGAGAGAAAACTCACCAAAATCTAATAACCTGATTTAAATACAAGCAAAGAACCTGAATAGACATTTATCTTTTAAAAAAGATATAAAAATGGCTAACAAGTGCTCAACATCAGTAATCACCAGGAAAATGCAAACCAAAGTCCTCATTTACTTAGCTTCCATATTTTATTTCACACAATAAATATGAATGTGTACAGCAGGTACAGCAATCTCCATCCTACAACAGAGGACCCTGAGCCTGGTGACTCGGGGATGCATCTGCATGGAGCCGGCCTGGGGTGGGGTGGATGGTGCTGAAGAGGACAGCAGATGACGTAGAACCAGGGGCAGTGACTCACCTGGGACCCCTCAGCAGGGGAGCCTCGGTCAGTCCCCAAAGCTCAGCAGCACCCTCTGGGGACCTGCTACCTGCTGGCTTGGTCAGCACCACGGACAGAGGACAGGTGGGCGAGGCTCAGTCAGAACTCCTGGGAGGAGGACAGCCAGGTGCCCCAAACCAGGGCTGCTGGCTGACAGCCCTGAGAACCCCCTGAGGCTAGGGATGGGGTAAAGGGCCAAGCTGGTCACCTGTGGGGCCCTCAGTTACCCTCATTGCCGCTGGTGCCACCCCGGCAGTGCACAGCAGCACAATTAGTAGGTGGACAAGCCAGGCATGTGGATGGGTCTGGGGATTCGTGCTCAGGGGCTCTGACAGGACAAAAGAAGGGCCACTGGGGCTGGAGAGAGGGTCACAGCCTCTGGGTCAGTCACGATGGAGAAATGAGGAAAAGGGAACGGGTGGTGGCCGATATGCAGGAGAGGCAAGTGGACGCGGGATGGTCAGAGTCCATTAGATAGGATGGGCTCCAGGTGCATCCTTGCTGTACTGGGCACTTCTCAGCATTCCTGGAACTCAGCTTGGTGATATAGTCACATTTTGGGAGACTGCTGTCAGGGCCCAGCCACACACCCCTGAGCAGCCCTGTGCCATCTCAGGACTGGACTTTCTCAGCTCCCATAGGGGATGCTGCCTGCAGCCCAGGAGGGGCAGCCCCATTGTGCAGCCTGATCCCCCATGGAACCTAAGCAGCCTCTGCCTGGCCCTGTGCTCCCTCTGCTCCATCGCTCCAGCCCCTCCTGAGTGTCAGCCAGCATGGAGGCCCTGTCTGTTCTTTCTTCCCTATGCAGTCTCCTGGGCTGAGACCTGGGTCAAATGGGGATGGGGTTGGTTCTTCCCTGGGACCTGCTCAGGAAAGGGGATGGCCCCCAACCTGGTCCAGGTCCTCAGCTCTCCTCACGGCCTTACAGTGAGACAGACCTGCCCCTGTCTGTGCTTTGGAGGTGGAGGTAAGAGCCTGATCCTGCTGCATGGAAGCTGCTCCATAGATGGGTGACTTGGTGGGGGTTTGATGAGGCAGAGGCCGTGGCCTGTGGGCATGGTTGCTGGTGAGGGGGAGTGACACATTGTCACTGGGAGGGGCCACAGCTCCTGCTGAATCTCACACTAAACTCCAGCCCTGCAGGTGTTTTACCACAGCCACCACCGAGAATCACAGTAGTGTCTCTGGAGTCACTGCCCGCTGCCCACCAGGGCCCTACCTGGAGGCCAAGACCCAATCAAAGCCCAGGTTGTCTGTGCCCTGGAAACAGTGTGTCTTGTGGTCATGAGGCCAGACCACCAGTGCCCACTCCTCAGGGGCTGGGTTCTGTCCTATTCTGGCTCCTTCCAGTTCAGTCACATTGGGTCCCCTAAGCACATGACCCAGCATCCAAGAATCAGAACAGGAAGCCTGGCAGTTCAGCTCACTCCATCACTTCTTATCTACAGCAAACATATCAGGGCATCAGATGCACAGATAAAAGGCTATGAATGTTTAACAACTGGAATAAATCTAGGAAGAGCAAGAAGGCACAGCGGTGAGTGAGTGTCCCCCGTGACCGCTCTTCAGTGTTTAGGACAGGTGCCCATTGTTGCTGCCTGGTGCTGCCTGCCTTTCAGACAGAGAAGGGTACACTTTCCTCACCAAAAGGACAACAGGCCTGGTCCCCAGCCCTCCTGCCCATCCCTGCAAGGATCACGTTGCTGGGAGGAATCTGATACTGGAGCCTGGGCCACTTCTAAGCCAGGAACAGGAACACCTTCTGGTCACCCCAAAGGAAGGAATAAATCCCGATCAGAGTTCACAACCTGAGCTCTTGCTCACTCTTTATTCATGGGAAGGGAGGCCCAGGCCTAGGTAGACAAACCTCCCCTGAGGAACCGTGGAGCCAAAGGCTGGAAACTTCCAGAATCCTTAGGTTTGGATCCCCCTTGGGGTCACCCTGAGGCCTGTCTCACCAGAGCATTCGTCTGTCCACAGATGTCTTATTGGGTCTACAAAGGAATCCTCACAGAGGTCTGGGGCCCAGCATGGTCACCCCTACTGAATGTCAAGAAGGAGAAGGACAAGAACCCAGGGAAACACCAGGTCTGGTCCTTCCAGTCCCAGCCAGAGCAGGATGCATAGGTCAGAATGTGTCAGAAGCCCAGTTACCCAGATGGAGGGAAAGTCAACCCCAAGGGGGCAGAAGGGGTCAGTCACAAATCCTGGGCAGACAGTGGCGTGGGCAACACAGGTGAGCTGCACACTGCTGATTTTCCCTGGCTTTGGAAATGAAGTTTCTGCAGAAAAAGCCTCTTTTCCTTCCAGAACCACTGTTTCATGACAGCAGTTTTGACAGTGAGTCTTGTGTCTGTTCTGAGGCTTGGCCGTACTCTACAGAAAATGAAGCAGGCCCAGATGTCCTCAGTGAATGTGCACCAGAATGACCTAGATGTGAGCCACACCTTCATAAGCCACACCCTGTTCAGAGAGCGCTGCAGCATCAAGTAAGGCGTGTGGGGCATGGAGGGTCCCCGGGGAGGTGGGCATTCTGGAGGGATGGGGCATCTGAGGGGCAATAGGGAGGTCTCAGGACAAGGGTAGTGTCTCAGAGAAGAGGGTGACAGCCCAGCCAACTGCTTGGAATTCTGGCCTTGGGAAGGGTCTGCAGAGGGGCCTGGAATATTGAGGTTTTCAGAGCAGCCCAGGGGGCTCTGAACACCTCTGCTCATTCCATGAAGACAAGCAAATGTTGTGTACCCAGATTATCACCTTAAAATGACTCCTACAGTGCTTGATGGGACAAGTGTGCACAGGAGACCCCAGGCCAGAGACCCTGCTGCCCTACAGGGCCTGGCTTCCCCAGCTGAGGGTGTCTGGCTCCTCCAGAAGGACCCAGCTCCCTTTCTCTGCACAGGAGGCAGAAGCAGGTCCCTGCAGGGCACACAAACCATGCCCTGTCTGAGAGGGGGCATCACACGACTGGGGCTGGGACTCAGGGCCAGCATCCTGGGCAGACTGGGCCAAGACTCATCTTGGGAGAGTACTTGGGGAGCCCCTTCTTTCAGGGCCCACATTTGATGGAGATGAGACCACCCCTATAAGAAGCTGCAAGACCTTATCTGATCCAGCCTAATGTGGGAGGTCTCATCCCATGCGGAGGGGGGCCCCAGCACCACAGACTGAGGTTCTAGTATTCCCTGCTCAGGCCACCAGCCCTCCACCTTGAAGGACCAGGTTCTCCCATGCCTGCTGTCCCCATAAATTCCTACTTCAAGCTAATCACAAGCTCATCCTGAGGCTCTGGTACATCTGCTTTCTGCAGGGCAAGCACATGCTCACAGCCAGGGCACATATGGCATTGAAAGTGCACAGAACCCGGTCCTCACGTGCCCGAGGGTGCTGGGGGAGCACACAAGCACATCAAACCTGGCTCAAGGGCAGTACCCACACTGCCCACAGGACCCTCCGCTTTAGCCCTGAGGGAGGGCCAAACCAATCCAACTCTGGTGGGCTGGAGAGGGCACCATGAGTCCTCCTGGAAACTGAACCCACCCCTGACACAACTCAGATGAAAGGCAGGAGTGTGGCGAGCACTTCCCTGCCTAGACCTTCCTGTATCCGTTGCCTCCTGTGCAGAGCTGGTCCCCAGGGGTGTCCAGAAAGGACCCAGCACTGCCCAGTGCAATGTGCCCAAGGCAGAAACAGGGTGAAGGCACAGACCCCTCCCAGGAGACCCCCCCCCCCGGCCTGATGCCCAGCCCCAAACCTAGACCCTCTCCTGAAGCTCTCCTGTTTGTCCTGTGGGAGCTCTCCCAAGACGCACTGTCCCAGACCTGGGATCTGGATGATGATGTGGTTCTCAGGCACTTTTAGGCCTCCATGGCTGAGCTCAGAAGGATGCACTGTGACATGCCCCCCAGGTGGTCTCGAGCACCAGGTCTCCTCTGAGTCACCATCTAAGACAGTAAACAGTGGGGAGTGCCCAGGACCCTCCATCCCTGCTCCCCAGGCCTTCCTTCTCCTCCTCCTCTTCCTTCTCTAAGAAGCTTCTAAAAACAGGCCAGCTGGGCCCCAGGGCAGGTGTTGGACTCACCTCAGTAACAGGGCAGGGGATGAGGGCAAGACCCCTCCAAACCCCCCACCACACCCTTCCCCCTCCTGCCCTAGAAGAATCCTGGAGGGCCCTAGAGGGTTCAGTCCCATCTGTGCCAGCCCACACCCACAGCTGCAAGCACCAACAGGGCCAGAGAGAAACAGGGGTCCCCACTCATGAGTTCCCATACCCCAGGCAGCACACACTCCTCACTGTGAAATCACTAGGGACCCTCACTCACAAGTGCCCATACCCCAGGTGGCATACACCCCTCACTGTGGGATCAGCAGGGACCCTCACTCATGAGAGCCAGCAGGTACCCTCACTCACAAGCACCCATATCCCAGGTGGTACACATCCGTCACTGTGAAATCAGTAAGGACCCTCACAAGCGCCCATACCCCAGGCAGCACACACCCCTCACTGTGGGATCAGCAGCCTGTAGTGTTTCTTCAGTGTCAGACCAGGTGGGTTCCTAGAGACCCCAAGACTCCAAAAACCCAAACCGTACAAGGGTCAGATGGGTTTGGGGGAGAAGTGGACCAAGTTTGCTTTCCATTCAGCTAAACATACAAAGATCCCTAGGAAGGCCCTGGTTCTGGAGCAAGTGTCTGTGGCACCCAGGCCTCTGCGGGTGTCCCTCAGCATGGAGACCCTTCCCAAGGGGGACAGGCTGGCCCACCAGCCCAGCTCCAGAAGCCCAGAAGCTGACCTGAGGCCAAGGCCCAGCAGCATGAGAATTCTGTAGAGCCCAGGACAGCAGGTCACTCTCTGGGGGCCCAGTGGCTCAAGATGTGGCAAGTCTGTTCCCATCTCAGGATAGACCATGGGATTTTTGGTGAGTTCTGTGTTGAAATTCTCTCCCAGACTCCCCATGGATCTCGACATCTGGGGCTCATGGTGTCCACAGTGCAGCTTTGAGCAGGGATGCTGAACCCTTGTTCTTTCATCTTCCCTGGACACCCCCAGGACCATAGGACAGGCCCTGGCCCTGAACCCCATCAGGGCCCCCACAACCCGGCCTTGCCCAGCCCACCGAAACCCCAGCGGCAGGGCCATAGATACTCCCCTTGCATGGTGGCACCTGGACCTGACCTTTCTCAGGGGCCACCGAGCTGCACAGCCTTAAAGGAGCCAAGACAGCACCCAGACAACCCCAGACAGCTCCTCAGCTGGGTGAAATCAGTGTCAATGGGGAAGCTGAACTCAGAGGCTGCTGGAGGGCAGAAGGACTGTGGCATCTGCAGAGCCCCAGCCAGCCAGTGCCTATCACATGTCCCCATGCCTGCCCACTTGTGTGACAGAGCCTCACTCACAGGGCAAACATCCCAGACCTACAGATGCCCAGCCCAGCCCAAGCCCTGGGAGAAAAGGGACCCAGGAGAACCATGGGAGCCCCAGAAATAGCCAAGATAACGGGGGACTGAGCTTCCCGGGGCACTGGCCAAAATTAGAATTTGGCCCAAGGAAGGGCAAGCCCCTTAAAGTAGTGTGTGGGTACGCAGGGCCCTCCAAGTCAGGGCATGCCTGGCAAGGCCAAGGCAGAGACTTTACCAGGCTCAAGGAGCAACCATCCACATCGCTGAGGGTGGGATAGGAGCAGGTGGACCAGCCTCCAACCTCTTCAACTCAAGGAAGCAGCGATGGCTGGACTCCTGCACCCTGAGTGGCCACCATCTGACCATCAGTGGGGCAGAAGCCAGAGACCTTCGATCTATCACATGGTCCTGGGGCCCTGCTTCCACTGCACAGGAATGCCTTCAAGTCACACGATCAAGAAGAAGCTGGGCAAGAATGGGCCCAGGAGACTGGGTCCCTGGGTCTGCTGTCCTCAGCAGGTGCCAAGGACAGAAAAAGTCAGAAAAGTTTTCTATGGTCAGAAAAAGTCAGAAAGGTAGTCTCACTCCTTGGAAGGAGGCTCCAAGGTGGAGACCAGAGCTGCAGGGGGAGAAGGAGCTCCTGGCAGCACTGAAATAGGCTCTGGCAGGATCCCAGAGTCTGCAGTTCCATCCTTCTCTTTTTCCTTTTCTTTGAGAGCTTGGAATCTTCTTCCATTTGATGGTGAGTCTGCAGTCATGGACAATGAATTTACAAAAGGACTTCTCAGTGGCCATTTCTGCAGCCTGCCCTGTGGAAAGCTGATGAGAGCACACTGCTGTCTCTGCACAACAGTGACCATCCAGATCTCACCAACAGGTAGATTATTTCTTAAATCTGTCTCAGTAATGGTATCCCCCAGACCATCAACATAGAGTGGGGGCAGACTTCTCCGCCAGTGGGTCTGGATGACGCATAGTTGAAGCCTGCTCTAGAAGCTTATCTGTCTGCTATGGGGTCATTGTTTTCACAAGTCGATCTTTCATATTCTGATCAGCAAGGGGTCATCTGGATCTGCAGGCTTCTCATGTCTGTGCGGACACTCCTCTCCTCTCTCACCCTCTCCTTTCACCCACAAAGAGCAAATGTGGGGCTTATTCCTTAGGTAGTAGAGTGTGTCCTGGGCCAGTTTGAGCAGCATGTCACTGGTGGATGTGGCTTTCCCCAGCGGGAGAGCTGGTCATGTTCTATCAGGGTTAGAAATCCCTCTCTCCATATCCGCAGTCACCTTTTAAAGACAGTTCTGCATCATGAACCTGGACCGGCAGTCATACTCCGGGTGTGAGAGGCAGGTCTGAGGGACATTTCCCACAGGCTTGGCACTCTCCAATCTTCTTGGAATGCATGTGTACCACAGAGCCCCATCCAGACACTGAATGGCCTGGCACAGATTTTGCACTTTTTCTCACACTTTTCTTTGGTCATTCAGATACACTGGTTTTCTCCAGGACACGTGTGACACAGAAGAGAGAAGCATCCTCCCAGGTTTGTCTGTTTTAGGTGCTGGAGCCCAGAGAGGTCTCCTCTTGAGAGGATTGGCAGGCAGCAGTAGCTTTTCAGGTGGGAGAGAGGGAGAGAGGACCCCCACAATCCCGTCGGCCCCAGCTCTTCTTTCTGGCTGTTCTTGAGACCCTGAATGACCTTTGACCACATGTGATTCATCTTTCTTGACTCAAGGTGAACCTCACTTCCAAGGAATCTCCATTCTTGGAGGGAACTCTTGGCTTCCTAGTATCTCCAAGAACTGGCCTGGAAGAGACAGAGAAATGTGGATGCATCTTGAGACACTCACAGTGTAAACCTGGTGCTTTTCAAAGACCCTCCCTCTACACCAACAGGGCTTAAGGAGACCTTGTGTCTGCTGCCAGGAGATGACAAAACCTTAAATGAGAAGGTCAAGAACCAGGATCACTGGAAAAAGAAATGTCCGGTCTCTAAACTCATAGACATGTTGGGGAACATCTGTGTGTCTGGATGTTTATTGTGTCCAGTGACGGATAAAGACTCAAAAACTCACCAGCTGTGGTGGCTCACACTCTTAATCCCAGCAATTTGGGAGGCCAAGGCAGGTGGATCACCTGAGGTTAGGAGTTCGAGACCAGCCTGTCCAACGTGGTGAAACCCCGTCTCTACTAAAAATACAAAACTTAGCAGGAAACCATGGTGTGAACCTGTGAACCCAGCCACTTGAGAGGCTAAGGCAAGAGAGTCATTTGAATCTGGGAGGCAGAGGTTGCAGTGAGCTGGGATTGCGCCACTGCACTCTGGCCTGGGCAACAGAGACACAGTCTCAAAACAAAAACAAAAACAAAAAAAACCTAACAAACAAAAATAAAATGTGAAAGCAAAAAGATTTTGGCTAAGTACTCCTGGCCTGGAAGGGCTCTTTGTTTTACATGCAGGTGATCTGTCCTGAAAAGAGGCCTCCTGGTCACAAAGTCTTACTTGGAAAGAGCTCCAAGTACACAGAGCCACAAGCCCATCAGCCATGGAGCTGCCTCTGCTGCCCAGGATGGAAACATGGAAACTCAGGGTCAAGGTGACTGAGGCTAGAACAAAAATATTAGGGGAAAAAAAAAGAAAACAGATTTAAAAAATTAAACAAAAATATTCTAACATGAAGAAATTTTTTATTAAAGCCTTGTCTCTGAATAAGTTAAATATGGCATATCACAGTATTGTACATAATAATCTAAAATTTTAACTATTGGCCAAGTACAGTGGCTCATGCCTATAATCGCAGCTCTTTGGGAAGCCAAGGTGGGAGAATTTTGCGAACCTAGGAATTGGAACTAGCCTGGGCCACAGAGTGAGACCATGTCTCTGCCAAACAATAAAACATTAGCTGGGCATGGTGGCATGGCCTGTAAAACAATAAATAAAAATGAAATTCTAACTGCCACAAACTAAGCTACAATATTTATGTCATCATAAAGTAATAGACAATGTATTTCAGTCCAAAAGAAGTAACCAAGAATTGAGTTCAAAATCAATTCAGAGCTTTGCCTTCTCTATATGGTGGAAGAGCAAGAAACAGACTCCCTCTGGCACCAGATACATAGGAAACCAGACCAACTACATTAACCAGATGTTTCCAGACACTAGAAGCAACTGCAAGGAGCACAGGACAGTGGTCTGGAGGCTGAAACTGAGGGGACCACATTGCTGCCCCAGCTTAGAGCCTGCAGAGCCTCCTGGCAGTGCAGGGTGGGAGGATATAGGCAGCGCATGGAAGTCCCCACATTAAAGAGACAGAGTTGAGAATGTGAGGAGAGAAAAACATGGGGCTGAGTACCAAAAAGCAGGGAGGAGTGGCTGAAGTAGGGGTAAGATTGGTGAGTAGAAGATGGGGGCTCATTAAACCATTGGCAGGTATATGGGTAAATACCAATCAAGATAAATAATATTACCCAGTACAAAAGAGAAAAGGCACCTAACACTTTTTTTTTTTGTGAGACAGAGTCTTGCTTTGTTGCCTAGGCTATAGTGCAGTGGTGCGATCTTGGCTCACTGCAACCTCTGCCGCCTGGGTTCAAATGATTCTCCTGTCTCAGCCTCCTGAGTAGCTGGGATTACAGGCACATGCCACCATGCCTGGCTAATTTTTGTATTTTCAGTAGAGATGGGGTTTCACCATGTCAGTCAGGCTGGTCTCAAACTCCTGACCTCGTGATCCGCCTGCCTTGGCCTCCCAAAGTGCTGGTGTGAGCCACCATGCCCGGCCCACCCTACATTTTTTTTCCAGAGCATTTTCACAAGAAAACTTGTCATTATGAGTATAATATTATCCAAAAGTAGCAGAGGAGGGAACATTTCCCTGTATATTTTAGGAAGCTAGTATTACTCTCCAATAGAATCGGAGAAAGGCAGTACAAAAAAAAAAAAACCCCACAAAAAACACCCTGTAAAACAGTATGCCTCATGAAACTCGATGTGGAACTCCCCAACAAAACATTATTCAAGAGAACCACATGCTTCACCCTGTGTGAATTTCTTCTAGGAATCATAAAGATTGGGGGAAACCAAAGGAAATCTTTTGTTAAGAATCAAAATTGTAGACTCCTGTCTTGAGTTGATTACTCTGAATTTTTCATCCCAAAATATATACAGGACCTAGTCTAATTCTATGATCTTTGCCACATGCAGCCAGATGCTGAAGAGAAATAGATACAACAGCAATATGGGAGTTATCCTCTCTAAAGCCCAGCTGAAATATCCCAGACCAGAAGTTTCACAAACAGAAAAACAACATACTTATCCTGAACAAGGGAAGGAGAAACAATTCAAACATTTAAATTAAAATTGCTGTGAGAATACTGACTTGTTAGAAACTGAAGGAGTGAGCAATGCTTCTAAATTCCGTGCTTTTCCATCAGAATATGGAGATAGACAACCTCGAAGTGCAGTTTCTTCATAATTGACTTTATCCAGTCATAACATTAATTTCCCTATGAATCAAATCATAAAATAAACTCATGACATATTCTCTGACTAAAAGAAGGCCAGATAAACTGAAAGCTTAGTTGTCAGTGTAGTAAATTACGTACGAGTATCTTATTGCTGCATTTTTAAATAATGATGGAATTAGAAATAATCTAAGTTTCTATCAAAGAATAAACAGTGAAACAAGTCTTGTATACCCATTCTTTGGAATAAATTTAAGACATTAAAAATAGAATCTCGTGCATTGATATGGAATAATGTAAATGATATATTGCTTGTGAAATAGCAAAATAAAAAAATAGTATGATACAATTTGTGTTCAAAAACTGTACATGTATTTTTCTTTTCTTTTTTTTTTTTTTGGAGGCAGGGTCTCATTCTGTTGCCCAGACAGGAGTGCAATGGCATGATCACAGCTCACTGCAGCTTCAACCTCCTGAGCTCAAGGGATCCTCCCCACTCAGCCTACCAAAGTGTTGGGATTACAGACACGAGCCACCACACTTGGCCAAATTTATGTGTATTTATAAATTTATAGAAAACATCCAAAAAAATAAACACCAAGCTATAATAATTCCTTCTAACAAGGGAGTGAGTTTGGAATGAAGAGGAAGACATGTGAAACTTTCGTTACATAAAGATCTCTATGATCCACCATTATTAAAACAGCATGCATTTCTTTTATAATTAGAGAAAGAAAAAAATATGCATTGTTACCACTTGGTAGGAGGGCACCAGTTTTGTTTTCATCAGTATTTGAATTACATGTTAGTGCACAGCACAAACCTGGAAGAGAAAGTCCAGAGGAATAATTAGAACAAAAAAAATCACACCTCAAAAAGTGAGTGGGTGTTATCTTTACATAACAACAAGCGTTCCAAGTGAGTTGTGGTCAGGATCTACCGCTGCTCCAGCTCCCTCAAATCACCTACACCCTGCCAAGGGAAAGACGAAGGACAGGGAAAGCCAAGTGCCAGCAAGTACTCTCCCCAACCAAAGGCCTGTTTCTGCAAGTTTTCTGTCATTAGGAAGAAAACAGAGTCCAAATGGGATGTGGACCCCTTCAGGACGCTGGCAGAGAAACACAAAGAATATGCCACAGTCATACCTTAGAGGAAGACTTCTAGGTTTAGACTTGAAATTCATCAAAAGCTTGTATGAAGTAAATAAAGCTACTCTACCTCTCCAAGTGTCAGTTTCTTCACCTATAAAATGGGAACTGCATGTCAACTTCATCAAATTGTTGCCAGAGTTAAATTCACAAAGATATTTAAAAGTGACTGTTACTGTTACTGCAAGGGTTCACATTATTTATAAAAAAAAAAAAAGAAAAAAAAGCATCAGACTTCAAAATACACAAAAGGAATAATGTCCATGTGTCCAAAGACAAGATGATCAGCTTTCGAAGCAGCCTGAGGTGCATGAGAATGAGGTCCATCCCTAACTAGAACTCTTCACAGCTCCACTGAAGAGGACACACACAGGGCCACAAGAAGGTGAGTGCATGGCCAGTGTAAAGTGACTGGTGAAGTGAGGGTGGAATCCCTAAAGACCCTCTGAAATGCAGTTACACAACAGGCTCCCAGGAAACACTGGAACAAACCAGGCAGCTGAATAGACACTACCAGGAATGAGGTGAGCAGAGAAGGGCCGGAGCCACAAATCTCAGCAGAATACACCAAACTGCAAGGAGCTCCTGGCTCTGTGAACAGCAGCTGTGGCTGCATCAGGACCAATCTTGTGAGGCAGCTGCTGGGGACAGCTGAGATCACCTGTTTTTGCAGTTACACACCCCACAGCAGTGCCTCTGGAACACAAATCACAAAACCCTCTCCATTCATCTTTAAGGTGACGGATGATGGATGCCCTCACATTACAACAGCCTGACCATACTTGCGGACAAATGTATTTAGAAACTCCCACCTAAAGGGGGAATAGTCAGGAGTAAAATGAGAATATTGAGGGATGGGGGAGGAACGCAGGTACTTGACCCCACAAACTCTACTGAAAACAAGGGAAGAGAATGTTGTGCTGTGGTCTCCCCATACTTCATCTCATCACGTCCATAGATGCTGCATGGTTCTTGTTCCCTTATTTACAAAGGTGTTGATTGAGCCCAAGTGTAATTGATCCTGAAGGAGAAAATTCTTTACAAAGTACAATTACAGTGTCTAATATCCATGACCAGGGTTTTAAGGGTTTTTAAAAATAGTAACCCACATTCAGGAATCACAAATGAAGCCTGTTGTAATGTGTGATATGAACAAGGTCTTATTTTCATGTAGATTAACACCTTGGTTTTTACAGATTAAACGTAAAAGCATAAAAGCTGGCGTCATTCCAGAATCAAAGGAACTGTCCCTGAGGACATATGGAATTAAGGGACATCAATGATTAGCAAGCTACACGAAACTAGAAGTGCTCCCAGAAGTTTCCATTGTCTAGACAGAAAAATTAAACAGATCAGCCCGAGAGAGTAAAGGTACCTCCGTGAATGCCCGGGGTGATGAACACTCCACTCAAAGCAAAATTGTGAAGCCTGAGGAGTTTCAAAGACGCCCCAAGCGCTCCACACCTTGAAAGTCACTCCCACAAAGCTGGAGCACCACCTGTTCCTGAGGATCAGGTTGCCATCTGTGTCTTTGAGACACTGCCCAGTCAGGCCTCAGTTGAGAAGAGGCCATTGATGTCACATGTAAAATGCCTAAACCATCTTCATCTTTAGGTAGCTATTTGGGGAACTTTCCACCAAATGGGTTGGTGGAAAATGGCGCACCAAAGACACACGCCTGGGAAGTGAGATTTTCTCCTCTGCTCTTAACATCTCCTGGGTAAACCAATAATGACACTCCCTGCCGCCTCAACATCCACATCCGCGAGAAAGGCGCTGGTGAGGGTGACATTTTCACGAAGCCACAGTCCATGTCACCCCCTGCAAAGCCCCGAACTTGTGCACTGGTGGGCCAGGCAGCAGATTTCTCCCCATAGCGGCTGCATTGCGCTCTGCCTGGAGAGAAAAGAGGGTAGCGGCACAATGGACAGCGCCCAGACCTCAGGCCGGTTCCCACAGCAGCTTAGGAAAGCAGGCGGCTCCCTGGGCTGGAGGAGGCGCAACGCCCAGGAAAGACCCCAGGTGCAGGTGGGAGAGGGAACCCAGCAGAGCAGCGGGAAGTGGGGTGAGGACCACACCCGTCCGAGTTGGACAAGGGCAGATGCACTTCGCGGCGTCACGCCCTCCTCACCGCCCAGCCTGGACCTCCGGCTCCTGTCCCTCTCCGGACTCACTTCCCATGGCAAGGAGGTGCCCGCGATCAGTAGCCAGCATCGCTGTGGAAGCGGCGAGGTCCACACTGCTCTGCCCAACACTCCTGGTTGCCCGCCTCCTCGCATGTCGTCTGCTGGGATTCTAGTCCAGCCGCCTTGCCACCGACGGGCGGGGAACCGTTAAGAGCTACCGTTTCCAGTCAGCCTGGTCAGGCGCGCGCTGCTCCGCTCTCCCGAAGAGAACTGCGCCCCGCCCCCGAGCCCGGGGCATGCTGGGATTGTAGTCCCGAAGCGCTTGAAACAACGGGCGGGAGCAGTAAGAAGACTACAGCTCCCAGAATGCACAGCGAGGCCGGCACAGCCCGGCTTCCCCCTTCAGGACTGCGCACCACCCCCTGTTCATGCTGGCTGGGATTGTAATCCGATCGCCCTGCAATTAAAAAACTGGAAGCTAATCAAAGATGACAACTCCCAGTATGCCAGGCGTAGCTCCCGCCCTCGAATCCACACCTCCCCGAGTCCAGAGCAGTTCTGCCATGCTAACGGGAGCCTGACTATTCTCAAACCTTTCCTGCCTGCCGGGCGACAGCGGGACCAGGGCGGCTGGTCTTACCGTTTAATTATGTCACTACCTCTCCCTAAGATGCTGTCTTCATGCTTTGTCATTGCCAGAAGTTTGATTTCTCACGGAGCAGCAGGGGACCAGGAGCTGCTCACAAACCTGTCAGGGTTGCCATAGTAACGCTCCTCTTCCTGGAGCGGTACTCGCCCCACCCCTTCCCTCGCCCCCGCCCCTTCTCCTCGCCCCTGGCCCTTCTCCTTGCCCTGCTCTTTCCCCCGGGGCTGCCTCTCCCCTCGGCACCGCCCCTCCTCCTCGCCCCGCCCCTGACACGCCCCTTCGGACATGCGCAGTGTAGTCCCTGCATAGGACTGGGGCTAATGGACAGATGTCTGATAGTTCTCCGACTTCTTGGCATCCCACGCGGGAAGCTCCCTCCTAAGTGTCTGAAACTGTCAGTTGACTGCCAGAAATGGATATACGCCGTCGCTGATAACCTGGCACTTGCCTTTTCAAAGCCACCATTTCCTCCATCCTCTAGGCTGTCACAAATCCTCCTCTGCACCCCAGGAGTGCCCCTTGGACCCGGGGCTGGATGCATGGCCCACATCTGGGTCAGGCCTTTCACAGGGACGCTCCTGCCACTCTAATAAAGAGTAGAAAACGTCACAGTGAAAGGTCTGACCCTGCTACATCCAGTCAGGAAACAGCCACAGGGAAGGGAGCCCCTAAGACACTTTGAGAGCCACATCCACCACTTCTCTGCCCCCGACCCAGGCTGGTCCCAGACCTTGGGGTCCTAGTGTGGACCTCCCGGTGGTAATTAACGCAGGTGCAGAACCAGAGAGCCCCTTAGTCCCTCCCAACACATGAGGGAAGTTTGTGTGGTGAAGTCATGAACAGTGTCTGCGTTGCTGCTGTGAATAGGGCTTTCTTGGAAACACTTAATTTCCCTTTTTAAATATCCCTTTGGAACCACGTTTAACAAGTTGCTGGTGGAACTTAACAGTAATAATTCTTTGAATCCATTTTTCTTTTTTCTTTTTTTGAGACGGAGTCTCACTCTGTAGCCCAGGTTGGAGTGCAGTGACCCGATCTGGGCTCACAGCAACCTCTGCCTCCCGGGGTTCAAGCAATTGTTCTGCCTCAGCCTTCCCAGTAGCTGAAATTACAGGCACCCGCCGCCACGCGTGGCTAAGTTTCATATTTTTAGTACAAGTGGGGTTTAACCATGTTGACCAGTCTGGTTTCGAACTCCTGACCTCAAGTAATCCGCCCTTCTCGGCCTCTCAAAGTGCTGGGATTACAGGCGTGAGCCACCGGGCCCTGCCTGAATCCATTTTAACATTTAATTTTCCAGATTAACGCGAAGTACCCCACGACTACACGCTTTTACATCTACCTTTATGAAACTGGAGGAGGCACAGCCTCAGCTCTGTGCAGGACGGATGCACAAGGGCAGAATCTCCGTGGGACGTCTTTCTGGAGTATCAGTATTACTGCAGGATTTGAGAAAGAAACAAATTTAAATAATTTACAACGTAGGACCCTGGAAATTTAAGAGAAGGCTGGAAAGTCATTGGCCTTTAATAACTGTCAGTCATCTGTGTCTAACTCGGACTTTCTCCAAGAAAAAAAAAAAAAATAAGGAGAATCTATTTTTCGTTCTTCTAAGTAGTTAAAATTAGAAATCACAACAAATCAATAGAAAGCTCTGCCCTGCCAGTCTCCTAAATCACAATATGGCCTTGGTATGGATTTTGCTTTTTTTTTTTTTTGGAGGGGCGTGTTGACATGTTGGGTATAAAAATTGGGGGGGAGGGTTTGACCAATTTTTGGAAGTTTTCAGCTATTAGTTGGTGATTTACTTTGCACCTCATTTAATTTTTCTGTCCCCTCTCCAACTTGGACTCAATCACTGCACAGGTCTCTGAGACTCTTCATTTTCTTTAAGCTTTTTCACTCTTTTATTCTGAATGGACGATTTATATTGCCCTGTCTTCTGCTTCTAACCTTTGAATAAGCTCAAAAGTATTTTTAAAATTTCCTTATCTTCCTATTGTTTCATAATTTCCATGTCTTTGCTGAGGTTCCACATCTCTTTATTCATTGTTAGAATATTTTCCTTTACCCCCATGAACAGATTTGTGATAGCTGCTTTAAACATTCTGAATTAGAACACATTGAATATCTTAGGATCACTTTTACTGCCTGCTTTTTAAATTGTGTATGGGTTACATTTTTGTGTTTCTTCACACGTCTCATGAATTTCAAAGTTGGGTACTAAAACTGTAAAGAATCATTATAGAGACTCTCAATTCTGTTGTGTACTTTTCAAGAGCGCTGTTATTGTTTACAAATGGTGTTAATTGTGCTGGATTCAAACTCCAATACCTATCTCCCCTATAGTGGGCACAGCCGAAATTCTCATTGAGTTCTTACTCACACATAGGTCATATTTGTATTATGTAGATGTGTTTCTATAACAATATATATTATTTGGGTGTCATCATTATAATCTACGTTAATTCAACAAGCTACTCCAGTATTACTGAAAGCCAGGACCCCAGTTTTGTCGGCTTATTGGATTTTGTATAAATCAAAGTATATAGTATGTATACTTTTACATCTACCTTTATGGAACAGTATATTTGTGATACTCATTCATGCTGTTGCAGATAGATATGGTCTGTTCTTTTTTTTTTTTTTTTTTCAAGATAGAGTCGTCTCACTCTGTTGCTCAGGTTGGAGTGCAGTGATGCAGTCTTGGCTCACTGCAAACTCCACCTCCTGGGTTCAAGTAATTCTCCTGCCTCAGCCTCCTGAGTAGCTGGGATTAGAGGTATGCACCACCACACCTGGCTATTTTTTGTATTTTTAGCAGAGACGGGGCTTCACCATGTTGGCCAGGCTGGTCCTGAACTCCCGACCTCAGGTGATCCACCCACCTCTGCCTCCCAAAGTGCTGGGATTACAGGCGTGAGCCACTGCACCCAGCCAACAATTTGTTTTTTTCATTTTAACAGTTTTTAAGTGTGCAGGTCAAAGGAATTAATCACATTCACACTATTTTACGAGCATCCTCCACATTTATAGAGAGTGTTTTTCATCCTGCAAAGCTGAAACTCTGTACCCATTAAACACCTCACCTACCTTCCTGCAGCTGGGAACCACTCTTCTACTTTGTGTCTCTGTAAACTTAACTACTCTAAGTACCTCGTATGAGTGGAATCATACAGTATGGTGAAGAAATCATGAGAAAATGTAATACACACTGTATAACGTATGTTTATTTATTTGAACAAAAGCACTAACAGAGATCAGCAGTACATGGTGATTATAGAGGAAGAGATAAAAAGAGAAAAGGATTGGACAGACACATTAAATTTATGACAATGATGCTCAGGTATCACAGCAGTGAGTCCCCTGCCCCAGTCACAGGGCTGATCACAGTGGAGCTGGGAGCCCTGTGCAGCTGTCTGACTCCCAGAGCCCATGCTCAGCCCAAACTTCACTGAGCCCTGAGGCACTCTGCCCCTGCCACCTGGGCACTCAGTGGGCCTGAGATTCTTCATGGCCTGGTCTTCTTGGCCTTGAGGGCATGACTGGCCTCCTGGGATGGGGCTCAGCGGCAGGACAGGTTGTAGCTGTAGGACAGAGCAGCAGCTGTGAGGCTCCAGGAGCCACACCTCAGGCCTCCCTCCCAGTGCCTGCCCAGGGCTCCCATTCAACAGGGCCTGCTGCTGACCAGGGAGCTGTGGCCACAGGCTGTCTGAAACTGACCACAAGACAGAGTCTCCACCCACCCTCTGTCAATCAGCTAGGCTCTCACCTCTTAATCAGACTGTGCTGCTCCATGGACTTGAAACCAACCCCATATTCCTCCTGAGTCTGAAGATGATAATTCCCTCTTGTCACGGAAGCAGCTGTATTTCTTGGAGGACTTTAATCTTCTGGCCAGAGGGAAAAACAGGAGGCTGACAGGGCCTGGGTGGAAGACGCTGAAGGGCCCTTAGGGAGGGAGTAAACTGGGGCCGATCTGTAGGGTTTTTCACTTAATGGGCCCCCTCTTCTCCAATCCCATGCAGTCCCACCCTTTTCTCAGAGTTGGATATAAACAGATAAACAGCCCCCCGCTAGGAATTTGTCCAGGATTCCAGTCCCCTACCCACACCCTCCATTGGGATGGGTCTCCTCTGTGTATCAAACCCTCCCAATAAATCCAGGATGCAGAGGATGGAGCCAGGGAGTGTTCTACCCAGGGTAAGTGGGTGGGAGTCTCTGACTTCCACATCCCGCCCTCCCCCAAAGTGAGCAGGTGTGAGAAATGTGCACAGAACAACACTGGGCTCTGCATCAGGCTCTGGGCTCCAGATGAGGAGGTGTGGGAGCTGTGGCTCAGGGACCTTCTGCCCCAACACTCTCTGACAAACGGAGGCCCAGTATAGAAAGAAAATGCTCGGCCACTTAGGAGCTGCCTGACTTGGGAGGGGCACAATTTTCCTCTCCTTCCATAGGCACCGCCTGAGGGAGAGGCTGAGTCCAGCTCCTGCAGCTTTGCAGTCAGGCAGCTCTGCAGCTTCACCACTCAGGGAACAGGGACTGGCAGCTGCTCTGGAGCCTCCACCATCAGAGGTAAGATGGGCCTGACGCCCCAGCTCACAGGGCATGGGGAGGACTGTGGGGCTCA